CACTCTTGAAGATGATCAGCATTGACAAAATCACCATCAGTCAATTGCAAAAGGCAGCTTTATTTGGAACAGCTTATATCTTGGGATGAAACCCTTAACACCATCAAACAACAACATCTGCCTATCCCAGGTCCTTGGGAAGGACTCGATAGGTGGATAAAAATGCCAAATCCAGTCTAAACATCTGGCTGACTGTGCAATTAACAATAATAATAAGAAACTGAAGCTTTGATTTTGGCTGCTCAAGAGCAAGCTATTGGAACTAATCAATCTGCAATCAAGGCCAGAACTGAAAAATCATCAAATGATTCAAAGTGCAGATTGTACAAGGAAGCAGAAGAAACAGTTGAGCATACACTCAGCTTGTGCAGGAAGATCGCACAAAATGACTATAAACAGCAACATAATACAGTCACCAAAATGATTCACTGGAACAACTGTAAACATTATCATCTGTCAGTAATGAAAAAATGGTGGGAACATATAGTTGAAAAAATAGTCAAAAATGAGCAAGTTAAAATGCTGTGGGATTTCCGAATAAAAACTGATAAAGTTTTGGCACGTAACACACCAGGTTTAACTGTGGTTGAAAAGAAGAAAGTGTGGATAATTGATATGGTAATACCAGGGGATAGTAGAAAAGAAGACAAAGAACTGGAGAAGATCATAAAGTATCAGGATATGAAAAACAAAGTTGAAAGATTATGGCATAAAGCAGTGATGGTGGTCCCAGTGGCTATTGGCACACTGGGTGCCATACCAAAAAACCTTGGACAGCGTTTAGGAAATCTGCACATTGACAAAATTTCCATCTGTCAGTTGCAAAAGGCCAGACTCCTTGGATCCGCACATATCCTACGCCTATATATTATGACATCCTAGGTTCTTGGGAAGAACTTGATGCGAATGAGGGCCAACACCAGCTAAAGAATTGGCAGCTATGATTTCATGTTGTTGTGTAGATGATGATGATGATGATGATGATGATGGAAGACTGCAAAAAAGCTTAGAGCACTTTTCTGCAGTCTTAAAAAAAATCTGCTTCCTATCCTGAAAGAACAGAGTCTATAAACTCTGGAGTAGTAAAGGAAATAGCTTTGTGAATACATAAAGGCAGCAGGGAAAGAAACCTACTTATATTAAGACAAGCTTAAGAAACATAAAAGCAGGTGCGTTCTCAGCAACTAGCCCATCCCACTTTAAGCAAATTCTTTTTACTTATTGATGTGTTCAATTGATATATCCTCTCTTTGCTGCTGTTACAGAGATCTGAAGTACAGCATCCACTATAGGTCTTAATTTGGCACTTTTTAAGCCACAGTACATTGTCTGTTTTATCCAACTGGTGTTATGTTGAAACCCCTGCTAGTGCACATTGAAGAAATTGGTCTCAAAGTCCCGACCACTAAGGATTAGAAGGAAGAAGAAAAATATAAGCAACCGACTGCCCTCTGATAGAATTTTAAAAAAAGGGGGGATGGGGCTAGGGGAGGCAGGTAAGGACACCACCTGATGACTCAGAGTCCATTATAGTTAAACTGTGTCTTTTCTTACTATAACACAATACAAAATCAAATTACCTTAGGGGAAAAAACATCAATTTCTTGCTCCTGTGGAGAAGAGTCATTTTCTTTTCTTTAAATCATAATGTCCCTGGTACATCTATTCTATTTTAGATGTTTGTGAGCCACATTGAGGACTACAGTCAATCCAGATATTAGCTATGCACAAATGCAAATATAATTTGCTATTACAGAAGTTTTTTTGTATTCTTACCTTTGTAAGGAATGAGTGCTGAATTTAGAATCTTCTTCCTTTGGACAGTAATTACTAATTCACCTTTGTTTTTCTATAAACACAACAAAAATATTTACATTTATAGGATTTACATTTTTCTACAAAACATATACAAACATATATATCACATAGGTTATTTTTTTAAAAAGCTTATTTTCCCTTCTTAGCTAACTCTTAAATCTAGGAAATAAAACAATAAATAAATAAATAAAAATCCCACCTTTCTCACACTTGTGACCTGGTCCTCTCAATTTTGTGCATTCATACTGAGGACCCTCCTCAAATGACTGCCATTCCAACGTTAGGACACAGAAAAGTCAGAAACCCTTTATTTCTATGTGATCATTCACTTCATGCTTAGCTCCTCCAAGAATAGAGATTCTTAAATTGTCTGACCAAATTATCCCTTTTCCCAGTCTTGAAAAACAGACAAACCATCTCTGCAGCAAATCCACCAAACTGGATCCTCGACTCACAAACAATCAATTACAAATTGCTCCATTATCCCTAGACTATACCCAAATTATCCCCTTGGAGTAATTACCCCCAGTTTAAGAACCACTGTCCTAGAATAACACTATTTCATAACAATGCAAGAGTTATACTTGACTTTCCTTAATCTGTTCAGATATTCAAGCAAAAATCATTTACGTCAGAAAGCCATCAGACAGAGAATTTGCACTAATAACATAATAGCTGAAAATGGTAAGACTGCAGCTATAGATGGCATAACGGGAAAAATTATAAAATATGGATGCAATTTGCTTAGTATATCGATATTTTGTTTGACACATGTGAAGACTGCATTCTGCGTCTGACAACTGGAAGGATGTTGTTATTGTTCCCTTGTACAAATGCAAAAACTATAGAGGGATTAGATCACTAAATGTATTTGAAAGGGTATGAGAAGTACCAATGAGCAAACTGGAAAGAGCAATGTGGCTTTATGTGGGTCTGCAAACCAGATTTTTGCTCTTCATCAAGAATGTATGAATTGAGAAAGTTTACTGTACAACTGTAAATTTAGAAAAACTGTATGATAAAGTGAATTGACTTGGATTATGGAAAGTTTTGTGCAGATATAGAACTGAAAATTGCTTGTTGAGTGCGATAAGAGCAATATGTCATAGAAATAAAATATGCATGAGAATGTAAGTTACAGATAAATGGGGAAAATTAGAGCAAGAAATTGAATTAATGCACTATGGTAGAATGTTTAGTAATGATGGGAAAATGGATGGAGATGATTTAAGATATGCAAATCCAGAGAGAAAGGCAACAGGAAGTTTGTCAAAAGAAGTAAAAATGGGCTTCCACTTACTTTATTGTATGAAAATGGGAGCTGGTATGTTAGGAGAAACATTACATTGAAATACAGTGGAATGAATTACTTAAGATATATGTGTGTGATAAACAAGAAGAGATAGAGTCAAGAATAAATGGCAGTTTAATGAATTTGGATGGAACATAAAAGTGAATGGTGACCAGATGAAAGAAGTCTGTTGAGGTGATCAGCCCATATGGACAGAATGAATGAAGCTTAATCACAAAACAAGTCATAAAGGAAAGGAAGACCAAGAAAGGTTTAGTTGAATGGACATGAGTACTTCAAAAAGAGAGAAGTCAGAAGTTTAAAGAATAAAAGGCACTGTATAAAGTGTTGTATGGACAAGATGGCAGCCTGACTGGTTTGCAAGAATAGAAATGAGTTAGTGTAATATGCATTTCATTGTTTTCTCTTATCTCTTGCCTCCCATTTATTTTGCTTATTACTTAATATTCTTCTTCTGTTTCCATAACGGTGCTTATTCTGCTAGGGAATAGCACAATGGTATATATGTGAGATGTAGTATTGCAAAATGCCATATAGGTCAGCTTTCACTTTGTTATTTCTAATAAGGTTACGACACTTGTGTATGACTTGTGTTTGTATGAGCTGGGCCCAAGATCTGTTGCACCAGAATGTAAATGCTTAAGACTGGGTTTATTAGTTATTTATTATTGCAAATGTTAACATATTCAACATAATACAATCTGAACAATAGCTGACAATTGCATAAGTGTTTAAATCATACAATGTCAGTGTAATATAACTAATGTTTCTGCAGAATTTGAACTCCTGCCATTTATTAATATGTTTTTAGAGGAACAATGTGGACTATGCAAATGGTATTGGTTCTCTGTTCCTGTCATTCACTAATCTATAAGGGTATCTTAAACATGCTATTGAAATGGCTTTGTGTCCAGTCACAAATTAGTACCAATTCTCCTGCTTAAAAGAGGTATATGTCCATATATAAAGATTAGGATATGCCTGCATTAATTCATGTTAGGAAACAGAAAAAAATATTCTCAGGATAAAAGATCTCAAAAACGTAATTTTCTTGAAGGAATATGACTAGATTCAAATATAAAAGATTATCTCTACTGTGAAATAGTTAGTCTAAAGACAGATTTTCAAGATAGTTAAAAGAGCTAGTGAATTATCCTGTGCAAATATGTTTTCAAAAGCAAAAACTGATAGTGACAAACTACCCTCATGTAGTCTAGTGTAGTCATCCTGGGTTGTGGACTGCACCAACTTAAATTTTGGATCACTGATGGTGGGTAAACAAGATGACTGATATAAGAGACTATGTTATTCAGTTACCTTTAAATATTTGTCAGCAACATAACTGAATGCATTGAAGTCGCTCAAACCTTACCTTTTTCTGACATAATTTGCTTTCATCTTCTGAATAGATACTGCTTGGGGTTATTTTATCATCCTCTATCTTATTTTGTTCTTGCTGATCATTTTTTTTTGTCAATGAAGTATGTTGTGCTGCTTTTGTCTCCAGGTTTTCAGAATTCAGTATTTCAGAGTCACTAAGAAGAGCATATTTGAAAAGAAGAAATGATTTACTGGTATTAAATTTAATTGTCTCCAACTACCCAATTATAGAGTAAATAAATTCACTGCTGTAACTCCTGTACAATCAGACTTATAGGTGATGCCCTTATCCAGAACCCTCATTGGGAACCTTCTATAGCTGAAGAGATTTTTGGCAGGAGATGTACTGCATGCTCCTGGGAATGGCTCCCTTCTCCCAGTGACTGCTAGTTACCCATGTGAATAAACATGGAGCAGAGGAAATCATTTTGGATAATATGAATAAACAGATGACTACTTTAAAGACCAAGTTGCGGGTAAGCACTATGTTCATTGTGATATCCATGCATCACAAATATGGGTGATTAGCAAGCCTTCCCATAGAAATGGGGCAGGTGCTCTTCTAAAAGAAGACAGATGACAGAACTACTTCTCCAAACAATATATCAATCCATGCCTAAACATCAGGATAGTGCTGCATAACAGTTGCTGTGACAATGAAACTGCTTACATATTGAATAGCGAAATTCCACAAAGAAAAGCTGTAGAAGACGCTACAATTCCTGTAGAATATGCTCTGATCTGTTATGGAATATCTTGTCTGCCAGTTTATAGCATAAATAATGGAAGTCAATTGAGGAAAAATTGTAGGGAGATACAATAGGCTGGTTAACCTAAAAATCAGAAAACATCCAGAAAGGAAGAAAACATCAGGCTTCAGCTTATCTTTATGAAGCAACAAATATGGGGATTGGTGGGAGACAGTTCTCCAGTTTAATGTGCTGAGATGATGGCAACAGGAAACTGACTCTGGGAAAGAAAATAAATATATCCAAAATATACTGGACATCTTTGTGCTATCAGATAAATATCTAACCTTCTTGCCTTACTTTAGTGGAGGGTGCTGAATAAGGTATATTATTTTGCTTTCCTGAGCAGTATCTGCAACAATTGTGTCTTGAAAAATAAAATAACACTTGTCATTCCTCACTATAAATAAACTTTCCAGGCAAATAAATAAAATGAAAATGAGGAATCTCCAAATGAGCACTGATGAATACTGAACATCATAAGGTGAAGTTTGCTGTTGTACTTCAAGAGGTTTCTCTATATAAGGTCCATTATCCTCAGAAGATGACTGTATCTGATATCTGGCCACTGGAAAGTGTCCAAGATTATATATTTAGAATCAAAATGAAAATCCTTCCTTTTGGAAGACCTGATTTTCTGGAGAAGTTGAGAAGCTCCAAATCTAAGCTCTTTGATCTTTATATTTGCTATTCTAATTTTTATATTACCTTTAATTTATGTTTTATATATTGTAATGCCTGGGAGGTCACTTGCCTGTTTCAGCTACAACTCAATAAAATTGGCTTCATAAGTACCATAATCAAAAGAAATATACAAAAGGAGTCAAGAATGGAAAAAAGGAAGAAGAGATGGCATGTACACTCCACAATGCAGATCCCATCCAAGCCTCTGAAGCAGCAGAAAATGGATATACAACAGACAACTTCAGTAAGTAACTCTGCCTACTCTCCAGATAGATTTAACTCTTATAACTCTTTGGAATGGGATCTACAGACAGAGGTTGAAAGTCAAGAGTTTATAGAACTTTCCTCTTCCCTGGTGAAGGATGCCCCCCCCCCAAAACTGCTGCTGTTTTTTCAGCAACCATATTGCTTATGCAAGATGGGAATGATATGAACCTAAAAAGGGAGAATGTAACAGACTTTATAACTAGGCAATGCCTGATAGTGGAGGGAGGGAGACTAGTAGCCAGCCAGCCGGCCACCTTATGCATTAAGACAAAGGATGAGAAGCATGGTGGTGAGTTCAGGCCTTCTTGTAGAACTCTCTATGGAGAATGCCATAGTAATAAGAAGCAAAGAACTGTTGATTCTGGGGATGCTTGGAACTCTGAAAGCAGAAAGGAATGTGCTCAAGAAAAGAAAACTGAGAACACATCTCTAAACTCTAATCTCTCCATCAAAATGGAGCCCATAGAAGGTGTGCTTTTTGGGGGAGGGAGTGCCTTCAAGTCAGTCTTGACTCCTGGTGACTGCCTGGACAAGTCCCTATAGTTTTCTTGGCAAGATTTCAGAAGTGGTTTGCCACTGCCTGCTTCCTAGGGCCGAGAGAGGAGGACTGGCCCATCTGGCTTTCTGCCTAAGGCAGGACTAGAACCCTCCCAGTTTCTAGCCTGATGCCTTAACCACTACACCAAACTGGCTCTCCCACAGGTGGTTAGTCTTCCCTAAAATGTACTATACCAGCCTTGAATGACTTGTGGAGGAGAAGGGCCATGCTGATAATTTAAAAATAATTGCAGGCCACAGAGGAATACTTGGTGCACTGATCAGCTGTTCGGCAGCTAGTGGAGTAGCAGAAGCACTGGAGCTAGTGGTGGCAATGAGGCCTGGGGGCATTGGAAGCACTCATCAGAACATCTTTTGGGGCAGCAAAGTGAATTTATTGACTTCTTTAAAAACTCAGGTGGACTGCATGTGGCCTGGTCAGGCCTCCATTGTTAGGACCAATCCAACTTTTGGCAATGGCAAATTCAGCAAGGGTAGCAATGAAGTTTTAAATCCATATCACTGATGGCTCTAAAGAGAAAATTTCAGAGTAGGCAAATTTGGCTGCAAATGCTTCATTTTGGAGGGAGAGATATGCTATATGAGCATTCAGAATAACTCTTATTTTCTTTTTTCTTCAACTACAAGAAGCCAAGGGGTAGCTTAGAGTGGGTGGACTGATTATAATAAAAACTATGCTTGGTACTGAGTTTGCTGAAGACAGCATCAGGGCCCTGATCATAACTGATAGTTGCTCTGTCAGTCAAGCTAGTGAGATAGAGACTATAGTCTACAGCATACACTTGACAATAAGCCTCTAATTAGAAGCACTTTATCCCAAAGGAAAGATAGCAGGAGATATTACTAATTACAACTAACCTATTTCATAATTTTTTGGCATTATGGGTGAGTTTTCACATGACACCCCTCTTCAAGGTACAGAAGACAAATTTGAGTATCTACCTCTAGGCAACATGTTCCAAACTAAGTTCTCATGGCCATAGTCTCAAAATAAAGTGGTAATCCACCATCAATCCACTATACCAAGAGGTGACAAATGGCAAAAATATCAGAGTTTGGGTTGTTGTTGGGTGTTTTTTTTTTTTTTTTTTTCATTTAGAGATAGAAAATATGAAGTAGAACAAAGAAAAATCAGAAAAGAAGACCACAAAATGGTTTGTCAGCTTCAAAAGAAGATGCAAAGAGGACTATAATCATGCTACAGCTCTGGTAATTAACTAGGAAAGTAGGGGAGAATGGAAGCCATACAGAAATAGAACCATATACAATACAAGGAACACCACCCACCAAAAACCTCCTCAGCTGTAGAAAGCAACTAATGCTAGTTCTGTGCAAGTATATTACAGAATATATTACATATATTACATGTATATAATGCATAGAGAATGCAATAAAGAAAAATCAGCTCCACGATGATGAGCAAAATGAAAAAATAACACATTTGTGCCTTATTGCCATAGAACAATCATGCAATAATCAGGAAGAGAAAGAAAAATTTGAACTTATCATGAATCACTCAGAAGGTACTCTTCACCTTGGGATTTCTTGGAGCTTATAAGCAAGGTCCATTAATTAAAGGATTTTCTATGGGAAGAATCATTGTATCTCTCAACACTATCCCTTGATTACATATAAAAATGTGCACCTAGGTTGGCTTGACAGTTACACTAGGCTTTGCACAGCACATTAAGGACACTCCAAAAGTGGACATGGCCATGAGATTCTTTTTTTTGCATTAAGCCTCTTCCCACCTATTTTACCTTAATCTCCTCCCCAGATTTTCCAAAATGAATAAATATTGGTGGGGCGGGGGGACTTTCTATGAGAGGCTCAGGAGGTACAAAAAGGTATACTGGGTGACTTTGAGCCAGTCATTCTCTCTCAGCCCAACTCACCTCACAGGGTTGTTGTTGTGGGGAAAATAGAAGAAAGAAATAATAGGTGAGTTTGCTGCCTTGAGTTATGAATTATGAAGTTATGAGTTACGCCTCTCCCCCACAATTTCAACCCGTCTCACCTGATCACACAGAGAGGGCATGCTCCAGACCCCCTTGCCAAAAGAACTCTGAGTAGCGGGGTCCAGAAGGCGGGCCTTCTCTGCTGTAGCCCCTGCCCTTTGGAACATCTTG